TTTCACATGACTCATTACCGAAAGTCACCTACAGAACCAGATATGATGCCTATCAGTGAAAGTTTTGAAGAGCGGCTACCTTAATGGAAAACTTTATAGGCTTTCCTTTGTTTGAATCTATCTGACGGTGAATCTCTTCGGCAATTTGATGTAGGCGGAAAAGTCTCACCTGAACATTTGGAAACTTGAAGCTAATCATTTAAAGTGTGAGGTTCTACTCACTCGCAGAGATGCCTCCTCCAATTGGGCGCCATTCCATATTTCATCGCAAACAATATCATCGTTCATCCTTGGAGGGCATGTATCCATACCAAACACGCACAATGATACCTGGAGGAGAACTCCGCAGTGTAGCGAACAATCTGATACTTATGAGTACCTTTAAAAATCCGCAGTTTTCATGCACTGCTTCATCGTCGTCTTCATCAAATGGAGCTCTCATGGCGATCCACTTTGAGATAACAGCTTGACCGGGAGAGTGAATGATGGCACCCACAAGGCAGAAAAATTCTCCTTTGACTTTCTCAGAAAATCGTTTTGCACGCGTTACCTGAGGAAATGCATAAACCAATAACCTTTATATTCCATTATGTAGATGACTTACTTTAATTGCCAAAGTCTGAGAAGCAAGTTTTTGTAAAGTGGTATCTTTGAGCATGAATACTAGGTTTTGCTTCCATCTAGGAGCTCCTTGTGAGCACACGCGAGTACATTTCTGCATTCCCTCCAAGTACGCCCGGACCCTTAGTGACCCGGTCTTTAGATCCCTTCCTTCAATGACGCGCAAAAGCACCTCAAAACCATGTGATGTAATTAATCTGAAGTGATAGAAGTTAGATGAATTTCTAAATGGACATAAACAGTAAATTGAGAATAACAACTGATGGTCTGACACGACATACTGCGCAGGATGTCTTAACACTCCTAGCATAGTAAATCGTGTTCGCTGCCAATCCGCGTAACAGCACTCACATGCCAGGTCGTTTTCACGTCAGCTTCCAGAAAAGTTTTTCGCCCAAAGTTTGTGTCATCCGCAACGTGTAAGTTTGGTTCTTCCGAGATCTAAATTTGTAAAGCTCAAAGATATTTTGTACATATATTTATACGGATACATATTCCAAACTTTTTTTCTGACAGCAAGGCTCAAACGCTCAAAC